AGATTTACCAAAGTTAATAATTTATTATGCTTTTTAAATAATCACTGCATTAGAGAACATGTGAGTGGTTCTAATGATACAATGTAAATACATATTCATACAAATGAGCTAAACTATACTTTCATTACACACTCATTTTAATATTAATAAGATACATTATTAAAATTTTAATATCTGTAGTGTATACTGAAGTTAGTCCTCTCAAATTTCTAAATGAATATTTTAAAATCATGCTCGCTGCTTTTTAACATCAGATCCCTCTTATTACTGAGCAGCTCTCTCTAACAAGATATTTTGAACACTCATCATTGGAGAGGTAAATATTTATTGAATTAAACATGAAAACTGAACCCAAAATGTGACACACTGATTATTGACTTATTTTTCAAGACATTTTAAAATAACTCTGCAAATATATTTTGACTTTAGGTAATAAGGTTATTACATGGAAATCTGCGATCACCTGAACAAGGGTTTAAGAAATCCTGTCATATTCACATGTATGTCTAGGGCAGTGGTGCTGGGGCCCATGGCACAAGTATTGCTTTTCTTTTATCACAAACGATGTTAATGTTTAAGTTGTTTTTTCTAAACTCAGACCTCAGTATTCAGGTTAATGGCAGTGCTGGCATTTGTGATAAGTGAGTAGGCTCCGGCTTGCTCTTCAGCTCTCATCTCTGAAAGCTCCTCCACTGCCGCTCTAGGAGGGTTAGAGATCTTGTTTATCCACAAAAGCATGTGATTCCAAAGCTGTCACCAAACCTTAGAGAATGACCTTTTTGCTTGGCGGCTTTGTGGAAGAATAGAGCTTTCCAGACCTCATAAAAAGAGGCAAAATAACATTATTAACTAAATGTTTAAACACTTCAAACACACCAAATAATCCAACTCTTTCTAGTGCTACAAGTTTTGTTTCAATGTGTTTCTGAGTCAGGACCACATTAAGGTCTCCACACTGGTGCTGGGATGGAGCACACAGGAAGCGCTTGCTGACCGAGTGCGTGAGCAAGGGGTGGGAGGTTGAGCTGTTGTCTTTAGACTCCAGCCCTCTTTGACGGTACTGGTCCCACCCTCAGATGCCCCCTCCTCCTCAAACTGCAGAGACCAGGAGCAGACCTTGACCCCGTCTCAGCTTGCTGGGTTACCTTGAACAAGGTACCCTGATAAGCCCAAGTCTTCCGCCACTAAACGAAGGTGCTCACGGTCCTTCTGACATAGAGCCATCGTGGGGATGGGCACAGTAAGGCTCCTCATCTAAATGTCATCCTTAGATAAGACTGTTCCCAAGCAGAAAAGGACCCCTTTACTCATGGCCTACACCCAAGGTGAAGTAGGCTTTGGATTTCTTTGATATTACAGAGGCCATTCAATCATATCGAGTAAGTTATCTTAATCTAAGCCTCTCCTAAGCTGTTGATGAGTTTGACTGTTTCACAACATTCACTCTTATCAGATCCTTATGCTGATAAGCCATTGCTAGGTCTACATACTAATCCATGCTGTAAGTTTATTCTATATGTGATATATAACATTTTTTCCCTTTAAAATGTTTCTTCAAGATAAATTCCCAGCAGATCCAGCGGCAAAGGGTGTGACCTTTTGGTGACTAGGTAGGTGCTGGGGGTGTTCCCAGCTATTAACTGGTGGCATTTCTATCATGCCTGTCCTTGGAAGGAGGTAGCTGGGGACACACTGGAGCTGTCTTCCGTGTAGCACTTCTCCCGAGAGGCAGGAGGGGTATTCACACCTATCGTAAGGCACGTGTAGTCTTACAATTAAGAGGCAGGTGGTATGCGGTAACTTAGAAGACCCGTGAAGACTGGTTTCTTCGGAGCAGGGTTTTCTTGTCATTATTCTCCTTGCCCTCAGCCCTTCTGGGGCCCCCTGCTTGTGTGTGAGGAGCCTGACTCCCCTCGTCTGAGTTGGACACTTCGAGGTTCTATCTTGCTGTTTGGCGCAGGGAAGTGATTTTGGTTTGTCTGCAGGCAGACCGAGTGAGGGGTGATTTGCTTGGCACCCCGCAGCTTCTGTTTTGGCCTCGGGATGTTACACATCTTTCCTGGAAGGCAAGGGAGCTCACCTGGGTCCGGAAGCCTGGAGACCACTCGCGGCCTGTGTGTGGAAGGTGCCTGGGATGGCCTGGGGGCCTGGTCCCGCCAGGCAGGCAGGCCGGCCCTCCTTCATCCTCATCCACACACAGGCTGTGCACAGGACGCAGCTGCCGCTTCTTCATTATAGAAACCAACACCGCAGCCTCTCTTTTCAGAGGCAGACTCTACGGGCTGTTTCATAAGTAATGTTTCTAAACTTCACAGAGGCAAGCTCTGTCCTTTCAGCTGTTTTAATACGTCCACAAAAGTAATCCCTTTAAAAATAAGTTATAGCTTCCTTTCTTTTTCATTTTATATGCATTTTGAGATGTAATTTTCCAATATATCATCCAAATTCAGGAGATCAACCCAAAATAATAAGCCATTTAACGGGCTTATTTATTTGTGATTTTGTGAAATACATTACAACTTTTAAAATTTTCCTGTAAATAATGAACCAAATAATACAATATAAAGGGGTTAAAAGTGACCTGCAAGTATTATTATTTTCTTTAAGTAGTAGATGCTTCTTAAATAACTATTTTATTACCTCAAGCTCAAATTTCCAAACTGTCTTTTAAACATAGATGTTTTCTGGCCATATCACTTAAAAGTTACTTGTTCTCTTTAAGAAGTCTCACGTGGAGCTCTCATCGTTTTCCACTTTATGATCAAATTTGTGGAGAAATCACAGAATAGCTGCTCGCTATCCACTGGCCTGGCAGGTTCAGTGCACTTAGCCTGTGACCTTTACTACTTCTTCAGAAAACTGTTCAGCAATACTCTCAGAACCTCCTAATTAACTTCACATATGAATTATATCCGTGTATTTTAGAATGGATGTAAGCGACTATTTTCCCGTTACACGAAATATGTTCTGCTTTGTATCCATCACCCATTTTGCTGTTTTGTGAAAGGGTACTTTCGTCAAGGAGAGAGTTCAGCCAGTGGAAAGCCACCTTAGAGTTGTGAAATCAAACTAAGCTCAGTGCAGAGTGACTGCTGTGTATGCTGTGCTCGCTCTGATGACACACGTGGGTCTGCACATGCAGACGGGGGTTTGCACAGAGCCCCATGCATCCAGAATTTGTGGTATCTGAACATGGGTTCCAGGGTGCTGCTTATCCAGGTTTTGTAGCAAATAAATAAGTGTCCATCTGCTAATTATGCTGAATCATGTAACATGACATTTTATTAAGACAAGTTGGAGTGCTTTTAATTAGTTTGATAATTATGTTGCATTATACAATATTTAAAAACATACAACTTGGCAAGTGAATGCCTCCTAGAACATAATTGCTTGGAAAATAGTAATACTGTTTATCTCCAAATGAATCCCTCATATGGCCTCATCTGTAAAACTCGGCCACCTAAGAAACATTAACAGTTGCCTTCTGCTCAAAGATCTCAGAGAGCTGGCTGCATGCCCCTTAACTGGCCTGGAAAAATGCATCCAAAAGCACTTAATAATCATTTACTGTTCAAAAAGCCCAACTCCAAACTGAAAGGAGTCAAACTTTTGTTAGTGAAGAAAGCAATTAATTTTGGTAGGTAATAAACAAAATTAATTCACATGAAAATCCCCTAAGTGATTTTTAGAAGCTGTTCTTTACTGAATTATCCAGTATTAGGTAATTTGCACGCTTCCTGCGTCTCAGGAAATCTGAGCAGACTTAGGAAATGAAAAAAGCAGTCAGTAGCATTTTTATCACAAGCCGATGTGAAGTGCCCGTGTCAGCCTGGCATGAGGACAGGATTGCGGAGGCCCGAGGGCTCCAAGTGTAGACTCGCCTGGTGTCCGGGCAGGAAGGTTGCCACAGTGGCTTGACTGCTTATTCCTGTGGCCTTGGGCTGGCATCTGGGAGCCTGGCTTGGGGAGTCCCCAGCCTGCAGTGATGGGGGAGCTTCCTGTGCTGTGCTGCTTCTGCCGCCCAGGGGCTCACACCGAGCGCGAGCGCTTCCTCCCGAGAATCAGGGAGCTGGGGACTCATCAGGCAGGGCTGTGTGTGTGAGCAGCACCCAGTAGATCTCTGAGTGCTGCGTCTCTGACAAGCTTCCCTGGCCCACGGTGTTTCAGAGGTGCTGTTCTCCTAGTCCCTTGGGTGGTTAAACAGCAGAAGCCATGTTCTAACAGTCCCGGACGCTGGAAGTCAAGGCCAGGGTGCGGGAGGCCAGTTCCTGTGAGTCCAGCACACTGGCTTCTGCTGTGGCCTCACAGGGCATCACAGGAGCCACAGCGGCCCCATCTCTGCTTCTGAGGATGCCGGTCTCGTTCCCGAGGCCGCACCTTCGGAACAGTTCACCTCCTAATGCCACAAGCCTGGGGAACAGGGTTCCCTCAGACCAGCTCTTTGCTGGGGACTGAGGGCCTCGTCCCTGGTGACAAAGGCTTGGGGACCTGTGCCTGGCCCCCCGGGCTCCTCCCTGAGCTTTTCCTTTGCCATAGGAAGTGTACCTGTGAGTGCAGCTGTGTGCGGGCCCCTGCGGACCTGGGCCAAATCTGAAACTTAGGGCCATGTTGGGGCCCCCACAGTACTTCCTGGGGTCCCAGTGGTAATGACATTTAGGACACCCTAAGCTGGCCATCTTCAAAGACTGAGGTTGGGACCCTAGGGCCGCGTGTGTGCTCTGAGCACAGCCCAGAGCCAGCAAGCAGCCTTGGCCAAGGGCCCAGGCCCAGGCCCAGGCCAAGGAGACCACACCAGCCGAGAGCACGCGGCCCTGTCCAGAGTGTGCCCGGCCCCTGCCCTACACCCGCAAAGCGCACAGCCCTGCGGGAACTGTGGCATCGTGGCTGTAAAGACGACAGGAAGTCGGGTCTGTGGCCCGGGCCCCCGCTGCTCCCACCCTCTCCTAAACAAGGTTGGCTCTTCCTGGGCGCTGCTCACCTCGTCCCCTTCCGCCCTCCAGGCATCATCATCATGATGTCCCTGTGCGACGAGGTGCACGTGTACGAGTACATCCCGTCCGTGCGGCAGACGGAGCTCTGCCACTACCACGAGCTGTACTACGACGCAGCCTGCACGCTGGGCGCCTACCACCCTCTGCTCTTCGAGAAGCTCCTGGTGCAGCGCCTCAACGTGGGCTCACAGGCCGAGCTGCACCGCAAGGGCAAGGTGGTGCTGCCCGGCTTCCGGGCGGCTCAGTGCCCCGAGCCCAGCTCCCGAGACGCACGGTCTTAGCAAGGCACCTCGGCAACCCACGTGCAGTAAGGCACTTCCTACTGCCGCCCCCGGAGTCCCAGAGAATACTTGAAGCTAGATCCTGGACAGTGTCGTGTGGCATCTTGAGCTGTAATGTAGGCGGCCATGAGAATTCTTCTCTCCCAAGCCATTGAAGGTTTTTTAGTACTTTGAGTATAGAAATGGAATTTTAAATAAAACATTCAAACAGAAGCAAGCAAAAAACAGAAAACCACAGGTCCAGTACCTCAAAAGTGCTGGCATGCTTAGGTCAGGGCCACCTTTGTCGGGGTGGCTGGGGCTACGTGCTTCACTGATGCTGGTGACCCAAGGGCTTCTGCCTGGAAACATCCCCACAGAGGACAGTCATCTTAGAGACCCTCAGTTCTCTGGGGAATGTGCCTTGTCAAGCAGATGCATTGGACAGCAGAAATCTCCGGATGGGTTAGGCCGACGAGTTCCCAGCCTCGCATCCCATCTCTGCTTCCCCTGCTGGCCCAGCGCTTTGCTCCCTGGATCAGGACCAAGTTCCTGGCCTCTTCTGGGCGGCCTTCCTGCAGGATTTTACCAGCTGCTGCGAGCCTGACAGCTGATTCTTCCCACTAAGTGTTTCAGAATCCAGTCCTGCTTTTCACAGGTGTGTTTTCTGTCAGCAGCATGACAAAGCCATAAAATTAAATAAAAACGTGTGATAGCATTGCTCTTTAACCAGGAAGATCCATGCCTGTTCAGGTGGAGAGGCAGGCAGGGTGACACTCATACCAGCCTGGTAGCGATACTGAGGTTTATAACCTCAAATTCTGCTACTGCATCAGCAATTTATGGTGGTGCAACAGAAACATTTTAAATATCTTAATTAAACATGTTGTTTTCAAACCAGAACATTTCTCAGTGGCACAGTTCAGACTTAGAGCAGTGAGGAGAGCAGTCAGTTAGAGGCAGTCTCCCTTGTAAGGCGTGTGACTGGCGGGAGAGGCTACTGTAAAGGCCGTCTTGTTTCTGGACTGGTTTGTTGCAGTGCCCTCGGGGCGGAGGCCTTCCTTGAGCAAGGACAGTTTCCTGAGACCCCAGCTTCTCCTTGGTTATTCTCCTCCGCACTCACAGGTGCCCCCGCTCCCCCACAGAAGTGGGAGCAACTGGAAAGTCTCCTTCTGTTTATCGATATTACCTAATAAAGGTCCCCCAAGGAGTGTCCTTGCAGAGTCAGTGAGCGGGGTGGATGGTTTTCTCTTATGTGTTAAATTGTCTGAGCAGATGCCACCCCGCCCTGCTTCTCCCTGATTTCCTGAAAGAGCTGGGCTCCATCCTCACTGGCATGGCAGAAACTTCCCAGCTCTGGAAGGAGGCGGCCAGGAGGGGCTCACGGGATGCGCTGTCCTCGAAGCCAGGGATCCTTCCAGGTCTTCCATGCTCTGCCATGTTAAATACCCACGGTGTCTTCCAAGTGGACGCGCCGTCAGGCCTCCTCGAATCTGGCACAGCCCCCTTTGGCCGATGAGAATTGGGTTAGCAAATGATTGACTGGGGTCGGTGTGGTTGTTCAAATTCAAAGGCTCCAAAAGAGATTTTTAAATAGCATTGTGTCATAGAGCCTGCACTCACAAAGGAGTGCTTTCAGCTTCACAGTTACAAGAAAGACTGATGAGCATAAAGCAAATTTGATTAAAATCTGTAAATTCTTCTCGGCCTTAAAGAGTGCCGGGAGTCGAGTCGGTGGGACATAGCAGGGTGCGGCGCACAGGTCCGCACAGCCCTGGATGCGCGGTCTGCGGTGGGGAAGTTCAAGGCGCTCGGCCTCACAGACGCCTCTGCTGTGCGTCAGTCGCTGTGCGCGCCTCCCTGTGCTCCCTGGTCCCGAGGGGCTGCGTTTGGGCAGACGTTGGTTGACTTCTGTGTGCACAGCGCTGAGCTCCAGCAGACACGCGGCCTTCCGAGGAGTGGTCAGCAGTGAGGGACCCAGCTCCTCCACACCTCTGCTTCTCCGGGACACGCTGTCCAGTGGGGAGAGGTGCTGAGGACACCCTCGCCTCCCTTGTGAGGGCCTCGGGCCGCTCTGCACCCCAGCACCGGCCGGCATCCCGTTCCCCTGTGGTGCAAGGTCATTGGAGACGTTGTCTCTGTCTTGGTGGAGGTGGACCAAAGGAACCACCTGCGCTTCAGCTGACCCATCAGGTTCTCCCACTTGTCCCTTTGGGGTGGGAGACCACGGCCAGGGCCAGCCTGGCGTCTGAGGGATTAAGTGGGATCCGTCTTACATGGCGGAGAGTGTCACAAGCCCCAGTGAATGATCAGAGTCCTCCAGGTCCTCAGCACTGGACAGTGCAGGCTGAGGGTGCTGGTCCTCTTCTGCTTAGGGATGACAGACAAAGGACATGGAGTGGCTGGGGGCTGGGGGCTGGGGGCTGGGGGCAGACACCCTGCGCCCTGGGTTGTTTCCGTTCTGACCTTCTGATGGTGCGGACTCACCCTGTGCTACACAGCGGGCGCAGTGAGCTCCTTTTGGAAACTAACGACTTGGTAGCGCACACCTGAGGTTCAGCTTGGCTTTAATACTCTGGATGTTTCCATTGTGAAATTATTCTGCACGATTCAGTCACCTGGGCATTATTTAAATACTTGGTAAGTGAAAGGGATTCCTCTGATAGCTCAAGGAAATACTGTAAATTCTGATTCTTGTTTTATTAAGTGATTGGAATCTTTTAGTAAGAGGAAAATAATCCAGTCTATTCTGTACAAGTTTAGGTTACTGAAATTTGAAGAATTCAAGACATTGATATAGTAAGATTCTTACTCTTAGTATAAAAGTGTGCATGTAGATATAGTTATATAATTGTATATATACGTATCTACACACATGGTTGGTTTTATATCGTCTTTTTCATTAACTTTTATGATGTAACCTTTACAGTAAAATTTTTAAATTATGCAAACACTAATTTTTTAAGAGAAAGAAACAAATGTTACACATCCTTCTATTAAAAATGTGGCTTTGCACTCCCTCCATACACATTCTACCCTTAACTATGGTAAACGAAAAGCCTAACAGAAATATTTTAAAGGCCCTATGAAGGTAGGATCACTACCTAACATTGGATCTTCATAGAACCCTGATTGTAACTCTGAACTCCAGTTTATCACTAGCTCGTGGCTTTTATAAGATTGGGGGAAGAAACATTTATTGGTTCTGTGGAAAATAGCCTAATTGCGTAAATGCGTTGGTGTGATAAAGTCTAGCATTTATAACATGCATCCTGTTTTGCTCTGGATAAAATACTTACAAAATCCTTCCAGTGGAAACCAGTGAACTTTTGTAACAGCTTTAGGAATTTTTTTGTATGATAATTTTTAAACTGAAATGTGTACCCTTCCATTTAATTAAGGCTTAAGGTTTTCCAGAAGTTGCATTTTAGAAGTGTTTGTACACATTTTAACACTTTGGTATTTTCTATTTTGGTTTTGTATATTTTTATGTGTACACAGTGTACAGGCTTTTCTTGTAAATAAACATGTTTTCATTTGTGTAGAGGTTTTGGCTTTAATTTGTAGACGTTAACACATGCAGAGAAGTAAGTAGCAAAGAAACAGGCCGTTAGTAATGAGCGTGGAGCCGCCATCTAATTGGGCACCTGAGCGGCGAAGGTAAGGACCGCTTCCTTCAGACCCTCGCTGCCAGCAGCGTCACAGCTGGGCTGGAACCAGAGGAGGCCGCCGGGATCTTCTTCCCTCATTCACTGTCACATGTGACAAAGCGGAAGTGGCAGGATGGAAAGGTAACGTGAGGACACAGCCACACCCCACACTGTGCTCCGCTGAGCCGGACCCTAAGTGGTCTCCGAGTCTGATGAGGTGGCTGAGCAGGTAGGGAAAGGAAAGGGAGGCCACCTTGAAAAGAGCGCAGAACACCTGCCAGGGCTCTCTTTATCCTTTGCCACTAATTCAGAAACCAATCTACACTCAGCACCCAGGGAATCCAGGAAATGGAGGTGCAGGAATCCTGGGGTGGATTCGCAGGGTGGGTCCCTGCTGTCCTGGCCCCTCAGGCCTAGTGCAGGGCCTGGCTGGCTGTGGCGAGGCTGCTTCTGTCAGAAAATCTGATGAGAGCACAGCAGGCTCATCCCTTCCCCGCTATGCCTGTGCTCCTGCATCCAGGGCTGAGTGGGATAATGAGGCAGAGCTCTTGATGCTGGCCAAAAAGTGCCTACAGTCTGCCCTTTATGGGGAGGTTTGCTGGCTGCCGTCCTGAATGCACTGGGCTGACACAGAATCCAGAATCGCCCTGGGAGGTAGGGATTCTGTGAGCCCCAGGAGGGGTGGGAAACCCAGAGGGGGCATCTAGTGGCACTGACAGCTGAGGAGCTGTGGCCAGGGTGTGCCACAAGCTCCGCTAGGAACCCTGTGCGCATGTCCCCGTTCTGTGTGAGAGAATTACTGCTTTACTTCCCATCATGGAGCTCCACTTCTCCCCGAACCCCCTTCCCAGCACATGGTCAAAGCCATCATGCCATGTGCTCACATTGAGAGCACACGGGTTAAACCAGGAAAGACGCAGTGGAGGTCAGCGTGGCCTGCACAAGGTGGACACACCAACCCGTGCGATGTTCCGTGCTTTGGAGGACGTCATTCTAAGTGAAATAAGCCGGGTACAGAAAGACAAATCCTGCACCCTTTCACTCCTCTGTGGAACTCAAAATAGTTGAGCTCAGAAATGGAGAGCGGATGGGGTCTCTAGAGGCTGCAGAGGGTGGGCATGGGGCACCGAGCACGGTTATGTAAGAAGGGCAAGATCCAGTGTCTGCAGCATCACAGGGACAGATCCCAAAATAGCTAAAGGAGAGGAGACTGAAGGATCCCAAGAGGAAGAGGCCGCACTAATGACCTGGGTCGGTCATGCAGAGGACCTTATGCTGGCCACAGGGGAGCTGATCTGTGGGGACCCCAGGGGCGAAAGAGAAGGACCTTCCTGAGCCACGAGCTGTCTGGTCAGGAGAAGGCAGACTGTCGTCCTAAAGGACCGTGCTCCCAGGAAGCTGACTTAGAAGCAGGTGCCAAGGGTGGCCTTCTCGAAGATACAGTGCGTGATTAGATGAGCACATCTGATCTCAGTCGCCTCAGCAAAGGTGTTTTCAGTTCTGCAACCTGAAGGAAAATATTTTGTCCTATGTTAGGATTTCCCCAGGCTGTTCTTGTTACCAACTAGCTTGCTGGTGGGCAGTTCCTCACAAATTACACAGGCCAGGCTAGAGGAACAGCTGCCCAGAGAGGAAAGACTGGGGCCAGGTGAGCCCCAACATGAGGTCAGCCTCACTAAGGGACGGAGCTGGTCAATGCTCAGAATTACTGGTCATTACAGGCAGAATGCACGGGCTGAATTTTCACCCTGCACCCCAGAAATATGCACAGGTGTATGTGTCAATGTTTTAGAAAAAGAAGCTCTTTACAAAGAAAAAAGTCCCAGTACTGGGTGTGCTTTAGTGATAGAGCAGTTGCCTGGCACATACAACCCTGGGGTCGATCCCCAGTACTGCAAAAAACCAGTAAAATAGCTAAAAACCAACATGTTCACCATATCCCTCCCAGTCTAAGGCATCATAAGATAAAAGAGGCTCCTTCGCACCCCATGATGAGGAAAACGCTGTGACTGCACACTACCCACGCCTCGCGGCTCAAGTGTGCAGGCGGGACAGTCACTGGGAGCCACATGAGGACCTGCACAGCTGGGGTGTGACCGGCCCTCAGTGAGATGGGAAGTCGGGAGCACACACTGGACCTCCAGAACAGTGGACCCAATCTCTCTCAACAACATTTTGAGTGGATATTTAAATATACTTGTTTAAACTGAAATATTCATTTTGCCAACTTGTTATGCTTTCTGACACCCTTGCTAAAAGATTTAAATTAACTCTGACCCATGGAAAGAATCTGGATTCCTACCTATGGGTCTGCAGCCAAATGACCTTTACAAAGGTGCCCTGGGGAGAGATGGGCCATCAATTAATGGCTCTGGGAAAACTGAATCCACATGTGGAAGAACAAAGCAACTCACGGAGATGAAAGACTAGAATATGAGACCTGAAATGACGGGTCTGCTAGAAGAAGACAGGGGAAACACTTGAGAACATTGCACTAGGCACAGACTCTGGCTAAATCCCCAAGTCACAGCAAACAAACGAAACGCAGCCCATTAGGACTGCACGAAACTGAAGACCTTTGGCAGAGCAATAGAAACAGTCAATAGAGTGAAGAAACAACCCATGGAATGGGAGAGAACATTTGCAAATTTACACCCTTCAAGCGGTAAATATTGAGAACATGTAAGTAACTCAAGCAACGCAGTGGCAAAATCACCACCGCCACCACCATCCGCTTCACCCAGTTTTTAAACTAGGCAGCAGACCTAAAGAGACATTTCTCAGATAAATGTATACATGGCCAGCAAGTACATGAAATGCATCACCAATCATCAAGTGCAAATAAAAACTACGGTGAGCTGTCACCCTCACTCTGCAGGAGTAGCTACTAGCAAGCAACAAAATAACGTGCTTGGCAAAGAGGTGCCTAAAAGGAAGCCCACACACTGTTGGTGGGGATGTGATTTACTACAGCCATTGAGCAAGAGAGTGGGGAGCTTTCTCACAAAATTAAAACAACAGTTTTACTGACAGTATATATAGAAAACTATGGAGAGTGTTACGTAGAAAGAGGTAATAACATTACTATGTCAGACAGACAGCTACACTTGAACTTTTTGTGGATGGGTGTGTGGTACTGGGAATCGAACCTTCACATTCTGCCACTGAGCTACATCCCTAGCTGTTTTGATTTATTTTGAGACAGGGTGTCACTTAGTTCCCCAGCTAGGAATTGAACTTGCAATCCTCCTGCCTCAGCCTCCCAAAGTGCTAGATTACAGGTGTGCACCACTGTGCCCAGTGTGCCCTCGTAGTGCTATTCACAGTATTGAAAAAATGTGAACGACCTAAATGTCCATCAACAAATGAATGAGCAAAAACTGTGGTGCACATAGCCCCTTCGGCCATGAAGAGTGAAGTCCTGCCACTTGCAACGACCTGGAAGGAGGAAGTACACACTGTTTCTGGATATAAGCCAGGCACAGAAGACAAACGCCTCGTAAACTTATTCACATGTAGAATCTAAAAACGTTAATGCCATGGAAACTGAGAATGGAATGGTAGTTACCAAAGGCTGAGAGAACGAGATGGGGAAAAAGTGCTCAACGGATGTTAAACTTTAGAAAGAAGAAATAAATTCTGGTGCCCTTTCGCACAGCAGAGTGACTGAATAACAGTAATGTACTGGATCTCTTGAAAAACCAGAAGAAAGGATTTCAAACATTTCACCAGGAAGAAATGATGTCTGAGGAGACAGACGTGCTTCCTCTGATTTAAACATTACACAACATAACATGTATTGAAATATCATGTCACATTCCAAAAATATGGACAAATTTTATATATCAGTTAAAAGTAAAACTAAGTCTGTGCTTACATTATTGTCTTGGTTACTTTCCTCTCGCTGCTGGGACAAAATACCTGATGCCCAAAATTTAGGAAGGAAAGGTTTATTTCGCTTCCAGTTTGTGGAGGTTTCATTCCATACTTGGCAGGCTACAAGGCAGAGTGGCACATGGCAGAAGGCTACAGCTCATGGCGGCAGAACACAGCAAAAGCAACAAGCACAAAAGGGAGGAATGGCCTCAAGCAGACTCTTCCTCTCCCTTACATATGCAAACTATCCCACTCCAGGGTGGGTGTAGCGCTCACACCCATAATCAATCAAACTCTAAAAGCCTGTCCCATGGCCGCATGAGGCTTTGGGGAAACACCCACACACAAACCATAACAATTATATAAACTATAGTAACTTAGAACTTATTTTATATTTATTTGAAAAGATTCAGACTTATTTAGACATACTTTCATTACTTATTATCACCCTGGGACATACAGAAAAGCAGAATATAGGTGAAACGATTATTTAGATTATTCTTAAAATGCAGTCATTCACTTCAGAAGCACTTTTTGAACAAGTCATTCATTTCTCTGATTTTTCCACCCCTCTGTCCTGTGCACCATGGGAAGTGGTAGCCGTGCCACACAGAAAGAGCCCTGGCCAGTGTCTCCTAAACTGTAGAGACTGACAGAATCCTCAGCACTGCGAACTGGAAAAGGGTGACTACAAGATGCATTTCAATTTCAGAGACATTAACATGGGGAAATAAATGAATCTTGGTGCTGATGAAAATGAGCATTTTGAATCTAATATGGGTGTAGTCCCAATTCTCCCCTGAGTTTTGTTTAATTCTGGGATGCAGAAGCACTCCTCATATGGCAAAAGAAAGACTTAAAAACATCCAGTCCCTCATAAAAGCAAGAACGCTGGCAAGAATTTTTCAAGCCAAGCTTTTCAGACCTTTGGAATTTAAGGATTGCAATAATCTGATTCCAGAAAAGTGACCAACATTCTGTGTGAGGGTGTGGAACGTGGGGGCACTGACCAGGCCCT